TTTTCAGGGAAGCGACATGTCTGTTAGTTTCATGTTCTAGGGGCCTTTGGAGGCGCTCCGGGCCCAGGGCCTGCCTCACCTGCCAGCCTTTGTCGGCCGTTCGGTAGTAGGGGTAATGCTTGGTGATGTGGGCGTAGATGCCGCTCAGGGTCAGCTGCCGGTCCTGGGCGGAGGAGATGGCCTGCACGATCAGCTGCGCGTAGGAGAACGGTGGCTTGGACTCGTCCTGCGGAGAGATGTGGCTCACAGGTGAGCCCCAGCAAGGTCCCAGGTTCACCCACCCACCTGCCACTGCTGACAGAGAGGAACCTTCCCCCGAGGACGCACTCATCTCGACAATCCCAATGCCCTCCAATGATCCCGTTAAGGGGCCTGAATTAAACTAGGAACAGCCGTTTTTGCCTCGTGGGAAGGAAAACTTCTGTTTTTGTCATAATTTAATTCTGAAATTTCTCACCTCTTCCACAAATTGATTTTAAAACAGCTGTTGGACAGAAATGAACTAAGCCAGAGTTATAAGGAAGGCGCCATCCTTCTCAAGGGCTGTTTGAAGGCTCTGACGTCAGGCTGCCAGTGGCAGATGAACAAGGAGCGGAGCGGAGGGGCCCTGGTGTCAGTGCCACCCATCACCAGCAAATGGCCAAGAAGGACAGTTTGGGCACGAAAAGGAGAAAGGGCCAATGGCTCTACTGCCAACTTTGGCTGCATTCCTCGGGGGTCAAGACTGCCTCGAGCACACCGCCGCACACCCTGGGGCTGTCTGTGCTGCTCGTGCTGGGTCACTACAGCCCGATCCTGGTCACCACGTGCATCATGTGGCAGGGGTGGCTCAGACCTTGGGGCTGTCTCCTCCAGACGTGTCTGCCTGCTGCTCCGATGCGGCCTTCGCTGCAAACTCTGCTGCCAGCTGCAGGTCTGAGGTCACGTTCTGCACAAAGCGGTAACTGGAGGAGCCGGCGCCCCGTGGACTAGCTGGGCAGGAGTTGGGGACACTGAGAAGAGAGAAGGACACTGTAAGCTCATGGCTCTGAAAAGGGGGTCCCTGAGGGGCACAGGGCTTTCAGGACCTACCAGGAAGGTGGGGCTAATGGGGAGAAACCTGCACTTTCCAATCATAAGTGCCATCACACTGCCCTGCCCTCAAAAAAGTCCAAGGTCACACAGCATCAGGGACAAGATGCTGGAAACAGCAGATGTGTTTCCTCCCAGCGGTGACTTCTGCTCAGGGGCTGAGAGTGCCGTGGGCCCACCTCCTGGCATTGTGCAGGGCCCAGGACAGCACCTAGTCAGGAAGCTCTGTGGAGGCCCCTCCTCAGCTGCCCCCACGCAGCTACAGGATGTGCACCTGGGGCAGGTAGCCTCCGCAGGCTGCTGGCCTGTGTGCAGGTGTCCACAAGGTGGCGCCATGGGAAAAGGCTTGGGCCTGGGACAACCCAGTGCGGTCAGAGGCAGATGCTGGAAAGGGGCCCTGGAGGTGCCATCGCCCTGAAGGATGAGGGCTCCGTGGCAGGTGGCTCTCCTGGAGGCACTGCCCTTGGGAAGAGCTGGCCCCTGTGGTTTCCTCCTGAGCCACTGAGATGCCCCAGCCCTGGTCCCCTCTTCTTCCCAGGCTGGAGCGATAACTGACTGTTGGGAGTAACCGACACCCCTGGCTGCAGCTGAGGCCAGGGCCGTGGAGGGGGGCTGTGTCCGGTGGCTGACAAGTGCGCCCTGGCCTGCTTCCCTAACTCACTCAGGCACAATTCCGTGAGCAAACCACGGCGGATGTTTTGCTTCTGAAAATGATTTCTATTATAGGTATTCAGAGAAAGTCAATGAGGACATGAAGAATGGGTGCAGAACCCCCCCAGAGAAAGAGGTCCCACTGTCCTGAGCAAGTGGGCACCCACCTGGCCCCGTCCCAGGAAAGGCCCCATCCCGGATGAGCCCTGCCCACCTGTGATGCTGACATCCCCGCCTCAACCGACTTAGAGACCCCATGGTAAGCAGGACGCTCCCTGCTGCCCTGCCCTGCAGGCCACCCAGAACCCTCCAGAAGGTCCACTCTCCTCTTCCCACCTTATTGCTGCTTCCTCTGCCTGGAACGTCCTTCCCCAACCGTCCAGGCACAAGACTCTCTCAGATCTCCAAACTTAGGCTCCGAGGCCACCTCCTCCATGCTGCTCTCCTGCCCCCACTCCTAAGGCAGCCCCCAGGCCCAGAATGGTGATGCGAGCTTGCAATTTGTCTCTCCTACTAGGTAGGAGCCCCGCCTGCACTGAAGGGGGCTTCAGAAACATTTCTTGGATGGAGCAGGAGGATGAATGAAAAAAGCCCTGTGGCTGAGAAAAACCTGGCAACTGCCATGAATGATCAGTTCAGGTCTGGGGCTTTTTCAGGGATGACTCAGCATCCGCCACACAGAACGTTAAGGACTCTGATCTGGAATTCCTGCTCTCTCTTCCCACAGACTCCTCAAATACAGCACACACAGGTTGAACACACCCACCAATGGCTCGATCGAGGTAGGAAACAGTCAAAGGGAAATTTTTTTTCTGAATTTAATTCTGAACCCAAAATACAAAACTCAAGCTTAAAAGTAAGGTTGAGGCTGGGCGCAGTGGCTCACGCCTGTAATCCCAGCACTTTGGGAGGCCGAGGCAGGCGGATCACGAGGTCAAGAGATCGAGACCATCCTGGCCAACATGGTGAAACCCCGTCTCTACTAAAAATACAAAAATTAGCCGGGCTTGGTGGTGCGCGTCTGTAGTCCCAGCTACTCAGAAGGCTGAAGCAGGAGAATCGCTTGAATGCAGGAGGTGGAGGTCGTGGTGAGCTGAGATTATGCCACTGCGCGCCAGCCTGGGCGACAGAGCGAGACTTTGTCTCAAAAAAAAAAAAAAAAAAAAAAAAGGTGAGAAGAGGAGAGAAAGGTTTTGACTGATAACAGCACACAGTCCCCAAAATCCACTTTGTCAAAGGCCTCTGGGAACCGAACACCTCCCTGTCAAGGCAGGATGGCCTCGTGGCTGGGAGCTGCAGATGACGTGGCCAGCATTGCACCTGTGCACCCCACCCCAGACCCAAAGCCCCTGGACGTCCCCTGGGACTCAGTGGGAAGACTTGAGATTCAGGCCTTGCTGGGGACCACTGAGCTAAGCTTTCACTCAGATACACCCTGATCTCCGGCCACAGGCTGGGGAACGGCCGCTCACCTCGGAAAATCTTGTTTGAGGCCCATGAGGTGGCAGGTGGGCTCCTCCATCCTTCCTAAAGACCAGCAAGGGGAACCCCTGCCTGCTCCATGACAAACAGTGATGGCCCAGCACGTGCAGCAGGGACCCGCTCCTGTTCCCAGAAATGATTTTGCAAAAGATCATAGAAAATTCATGTCTGCTGGGCTCGAAGGCTCCTACCTGTAAGCCCAGCAATTTGGGAGGCTGAGGTGGGAGGATCACTTGAGCCCAGATGTTTAAAACTAGCCTGGGCAACACAGTGACGACTCCATCTCTACAAACAATTTAAAAAATTAGCCAAGTGTGGTGGCATGTACCTGTAGTCCCAAGCTACTCGGGAGGCTGAGGCAGGAGGATGCCTTGAGCCCAGGAGTTTGAGGCTGCAGTGAGCTATAATCGTGCCTCTGCACTCCAGCCTGGGTGACATGGCAAGATCCTGTCTCTAAAAATAAGTAATGTTTTAAAATTTAAAAAACTAGCCGGGCATGGTAGTGCACACCTGTAGTTCTGGTTATTCAGGAGGCGGCGGCAGGAGGATGGCTTGAGCCTAGGAGGTCGAGGCTGCAGTGAGCTACGATCACTGCACTCTAGCCTGGGCAACAGGCTGAGACCTTGTCTCAAAAACACCAAAATTATTTCTAAACCTCAGGCAGTAAAACCCACCAGAAAGGTTGTCATTCCCAAAAGAAGGATATCAAGTGAAAATAATAAAAGTTGGCAAAGCCTGGCTCAAAAACAGGGAGAGTGGTCTTTCCACCACTCTCCACCAAGAGAGGTGGTCTCTCCACCCCTTGCCCCAGTACTGAACCTGGCCTGGGCTGCCAGATCCTGGTGTCACTCCAGCTGGGACAGGTATGACACCGCAGTTTCTGAGGTTCTCCAGCCACCTGGGCTGAGGGACCACGTGTGTTTGTTCACATGGCTCCTCCAGCCCTTGGAGCAGCCCGTCTCTCAATAAGCCCCATTCAGCTGTCCTCTGCAGGCTGGCCTCTGCCATGGGGCTGTGCCTGGTACCAGGTCCCCAATGCCAAGGCCCCATACCAGGCCTGCAGCTGAGGGAAGTGGGGAGCAGAGGCCACTGGAGCCACAGCCAGTCAGGCCTGTAAAGTGCTCTGAGGGCACCTGAACGTGGTGGCATGGGACACCCAGCTCCACAGCCAGGGTCCTGGCCTTGGGGACTGAACAGAGAGGGGCCTTGGAGCCATCTGAAAATCTAATCAAGACATCCCAGCCGGGCGTGGTGGCTCATGCCTATAATCCCAGCGCTTTGGGAGGCCAAGGTGGGTGGGTGAGATCAAGACCATCCTGGCCAACATGGTGAAACCCTGTCTCTACTAAAAATACAAAAAACTAGCTGGGCGTGGTGGTGGGCGCCTGTAGTTCCAGCCTCTTGGGAAGCTGAGGCAGGAGAACTGCTTGAACCCACGAGGTAGACGTTGCAGTGAGCTGAGATTGTGCCATTGCACTCTAGCCTGGTGACAGAGCAAGAAAAAAAAAAAAAAAAAAAAAAGAATCCTGTGTCTGATGCCAGGAGTCCAGGGAAACATTCTCTGACCCTTAGCTAAAAACGGTGGCATACACATCCACACGTGTCCTCCTGCAGGAATGACAGAGAGCAGGAAGCTGAGGGGACCCCATTGCTCCCTGACAGGGACCCCCAGCTCAATTGCAGGAAACAAGAAATCGCTCCTTCTGGGGGAAGTACCCCAGGCCTCGGCCAGCCCCCGTTCCCACTCCCCAGCTGCCTGTGTGGGCAGCAGAGGCTGGACAGCGGCAGCCCACAAGTGTGTTAGGAATCAATGCCTTCGCCCCCCGACTGGTGGCTGAGAGTGGGACTGAAGCACAGCAGGCAGCTCACCCCAGGCCTGGATTCCCCTCCCTTCTGTAGAGGACAATTTCCAAGTCACATTTCTGCTTCAGGCCAGAGAGCTGGAAGATCCTGAGTGGGGCACTCCCGGAGCTGTGTGCTTGCAGGGACAACCCTACATGGGCCTGGGACAGACAGCCTCCACCACACCCAGGAGCCGGGCCTAGAAGGTGCCTCCGGGACCACCAGGACACGCTCACGCAAGGACACTGGACACACAGGTAGCTGGGTCATGTTGCGATAAGAACTCACACTGAGAAAGGCAAATCCAACAACAGACGTAAAGCCAACTCTGGAGCCGACAGCTGGGTTCCGCCTCCAGAGCCCAAGACAAGCCTTCCCCCGGGCACAGGGCAGCGGTCCTTCCAGATCCCCCTCAATGCCGTGGCTCTTTGCTGAGGTGGAGAAGGCCACCCTGAGAGGCCTGGGGTCGGGAAGGGATGTGGCTTTCCCCAGGTCCAGAGAGGGCAGTGGGGACCTGATCCCTACTGAAGCCCGAGAGATGCAGATGGGACCTGCCAGGAGGGGCTGGAGGAAGGGGCTGGGACAGAGCCTTGTGGGCAATGGAGGGTCCAGGAGGCTTCGGGGTCTCTGTTGTCTTTTGTGTCCCGAGGCGGTGCCTGAGGCCTCCTGGGGGAACCTCCCTGGAGACGAGGATGCTTGGGGTCCCTGCCCCAGCCCCTGCTCCAACACCAGCCGCTCTAAGAGGGCTTTATGACCTCGCTGTTAAGTAGAACAGCTGGCTACAGCACATCTGTGGTTTGAGGAAGTTTCTACCAGGCAGGACATGGTGCAAGACAGAACAAGGGAGGAGGGACCCAGGGGAAGCTGACGGGAGCCCGGGTGGAGATGAAGCACGGTTCCCATCCCTAGGGAGGTGATGACACCGGCTCAGTAAGACAGTAAGAACACCACGCAAAGCACACATGCAGAGCAAGAACACTCTCTCATAATAAAAAAGTAACTCAAAAAATGAGAAATAAAAATCCAAGAAAGGGTAGAAGGAGAGACTGGAGAAAGTCTCCCAGAAAGTAGAGGGACAGGAAAGGAGAGGAGTGAGCTCAGCTCAGAGGCCCGCCAGGCACAGCCAGTCCCAGAAGTGGGGACAGGATCTGGGGGTCCAGGAGTGGTGGCTCACACTTGTAATCCCAGCGCTTTGGGAGGCTGAGGCAGGAAGATCACTGAGCACAGGGGTTCAAGACCAGCCTGAGCAACATAAGGAGATCCCATCTCTACAAAAAATACAAAAATTAGCCAGGCATGGTGGTGCACACCTGTCGTCCCTGCTACTCTCGAGGCTGAGGCAGGAGGATCGCTTGAGCCCAGAAGTAACAGTGGGCCACCAAGTGAGACCTTGTCTCTTAAATCAGTAAATGAAAAGTCTCTCTCCTGTGCCCTTTCCCAGGAAGTGCCTGGAGGATGTACTCTAGTAAAACAAAGGAACAAATGAGGAAAGAGGAAGATCATGGGAGTCAGGAAATAGCCCTCTCTCCACCACCACCTCCTGAGGGGACTCCCAGGATGGTGGAGAAGATGATCCTGTGGTCAAAGAGGAAGGCCTTCACAGTAAATGGAGAAGAGGCCATTATATTTACTCCAAGGGGGGGGGGAGGTGTGGTGGAAATAAGCCAATAGTACAGGAAGGAAATGGCTAAGCATTATAATCACTACACAGTTCTAATACAGAAAACGCTAATGCTGGGTGAACCAAACATGATGATGCAACTTGACGGGCTGGAGCGGGGAAGCTAAATCCTCAATTTCCATATAGGAAGCTGTTGTACAATACCTAAAACTGAAAAACCAAGACAGTCATGTGCGATGATGACTCAGACACAGGAGTGAGAAGGGATTCGCTCTGGGGAGTGCCACATGGGGGATTTTCATTTTCTGAAATGTTTGGATTTTGTACGATGCATATAAGATAGATATAGTCTCTTTGTAATCTGGAAAAAAAAAAAAAAAAAGGAAAGAAAATTTCCAGAGGCAAATTTCTTAGAACAATCGTAACAAATGCTTCTGTTCCTTTAAGATAAATCCGACACTGTAAAACTCTGGGAAGCTATTTTTAAAAATTAACTAGTGGACCATTCCTGTAGTCACGGCTGAGGTGGGAAGATCGCTTGAGTGCAGTGAGAAGGTCGAGACTGCAGTGATCCGTGACGGTGCCACTGCACTCCAGCCTGGGTGTCAGACAAGACCCTGCCTCAAAACAAAACCCAAACAAACAACAACAGCAACAAAAAACCAGACCCACGCCTTGTAGTCCTGGCACTTTGGGAGGTCAAGGTGGGAAGACTGCTTGAGGCCAGTAGTTCAAGACCAGCCTGGGCAACAAAGCAAGACACCATCTCAACAAAAATAAAAAATGAGCTGTAGTCTCAGATACACAGGAGGCTGAAGTGGGAGCATCGATTGAGCCCGGGAGGTTGAGGTTGCAGTGAGCTGTGACTGTGTCACTGAACTCCAGCCTGGGCAAGAGCGAGACCCTGTCAAAACACAAAAACAAACACAAACCCCAAAACCACACTTGGAACTGCCATTAAAAATAATAATGTAGGGTCTGGGCGTGGTGGCTCATGCTTGTAATCCCAGCTTGTACCCAGGAGGCGGAGGTTGCAGTGAGCAGAGATCTTGCCACTGTACTTCAGCCTGGGCAACAGAGATTCCATCTCAAAATAATAATAATAATAATAATAATAATTTAGGCCAGGCACGGTGGCTCATGCCTGTAATCCCAGCACTTTGGGAGGCCAAGGTGGGCAGACTAGGAGGTCAAAAGATCGAGACCAGTCTGGCCAACATAAACCCCATCTCTACTAAAATACAAAAGTTAGCTGGGCGTGGTGGCATGCACCTGTAGTCCCAGCTACTTGGGAGGCTGAGGCAGGAGAATTGCTTGAACTCAGGAGGCGGAGGTTGCAGTGAACCGAGATCTCGCCACTGTACTCCAGCCTGGGCGACATGTCGCCCAGAGCATCAAAAATAATGATAATAATAATTTAAAAATTAAATTAACTTGTTTCTGAAGTGCATTTTGCCCCAGTGAAGAGTAACCAGCACGCTGGACCGAAGAGGATCTGAGTGGGTGCTTGGGCGGAGAGGTGCCCCGCAGCTCTGCAGGCGCTGGGGTCAGCTCCATACCTGCAGACACCTCCTGCTTCCTTGTGGAACCTGGGAAGGACTGTCCCTGTGTGTCACCTGCCTGCGCAGAAGCCGTGTGAAAGGCCTACTCCACACAAGCCTCGTGTCACCGGAGGTCTGAAAAGTTGGGTGCTACACCCAGAAGGGCCCTCCCAGAGATTACAGGAAAGCCGGGGGTGGGGCCATCTGTTTACCAGATTCGAACAAACACAAGGAGTTCCCTACCAAGTCCGAGCTCCCAACACTTCAGAGCCAAAGGCACCCCTCAAAGGGATCTAGGCAGGAGGGAAAAATAAAAGGAACACACAGAAAAGTCCCAACCTTCCTGAGTAGCGGAAGCAGTAGTTACTTCCCCAGACTTCTCAGATTGGAAAAGGTGTAAGAGGGTGTGGTGGGGTGTGGAGGGGCAGCAAAGCCTACAGGGACAGGGAGAAGGGAAGAAGGACTCTCATTGCCAGCATGACTGATCAGTCAGGCGGGATCCCTGCTAGAGGTGACTCACACATTCGCACCACAGTCCTCCTGCAGCCGTGCTGAAACACAGGGAAGGCTGCAGCCACAAACTTGTGTTTTTAAATTATTATTATTTTTTGAGATGGGGTCTTGCTCTGTTGCCCAGGCTGGAGTGCAGTGGTGAGATCATAACTCACTGCAGCCTCCAACTGCTGGGCTCAAGCAATCATCCCGCCTCAGCCTCTCAAGTAGCTGGGTCTACAGGCATGAGCCACTGCACGTGGCTGATTGAAATTTTTTTTGTAGAGATGGGGGTCTCACTATGTTGCCCAGGCTTGTCTGAAACTTCTGGCCTCAAGCTGTCCTCCTGCCTCAGCCTCCCAAAGTGCTGGCATTCCAGCCTACCAGAAACTTTGAAGCAGATGAATCACTCTGTGGGAAGGAACCAAAGTTTGTCAGAAAAAGGAGAGTATTTCTAATGTAGACCCAATAACCTCCAAGCTCAAAAGACCTCTAACATTACGAAACAACATAAACCGAATTGGGACTGAATGTTACCTAGCAATAAGTTAGAACTGTGAGTTCTAACTTAATCATGAGGAAGGTCATGAGTAAAAGGGGAAGATGTTGAAGTCAGTTGCTGAATTTTTACTGTATGTTTATGTACTGCTGACCTTCACCAAATTGTATGAGTTACTTTCATTTTTGATCTCCACGTTGGAGAAATCAGGAAAGGCCTTCTGAGAGAAACAGCTCCTGGAGTCTCGCCCTCATGAGCAAAAACAGTCACTCTCTGTGCAATGCTCTCTCCCTGAACTTCAGCAGTTTTCTTAAAACTCTACCTCTAAGGAACACTTTTTAGACTGGTGTCTGTTTGGTGGAACCTAGAAAATTATTAACTACTCTAATTATTTGATTAAATACTTTAATTCCTTCCTAAAAACACCTTTTTGTTTTTTTTTTTTTTTTTGAGATGGAGTCTCACTCTGCTCAGTCTGGAGTGCAGTGATCTCACCACTGCAACCTCCACTTCCCAGGTTCAAGCACTTCTCCTGCCTCAGCCTCCAGAGTAGCTGGAATTACATGCCTGGCTAATTTTTGTATTTTTTGTAGAGATGGGGTTTCACCATGTTGACCAGGCTGGTCTCGAACTCCTGACCTTAGGTAATCCGCCCGCCTCTGCCTCTCAAAGTGCTGGGATTACTGGCGTGAGCCGCGGCGCCTGTAAAAACACTTCTTTGCAAAAAGGAAAGAAAGGTCAAAATGCTGCTAAAGATAGCAGAATTTATTTCAAAGAGAGTTCATTCATTTTCTGGGTGGAGTACTTCAGAGCAGAAAAAAATAAACCAGCACACACACAAAACCACAAATCCACACCCACCCACCCTGAGAACGGGAGTGAGGAGTGAGGGCCTTCGATAGCAAAGTAGGAGGAATGGAAAAGGAGGAGGAAGGGTGATGGGGGACAGGGGCAGCTGATCAGGGAAGATCCCACAGGGAATAGCCGCTCCCTCCCAAGTCACTCCCGACTCCTGGGAACAAGGGGCTCTGGGCGAGCCGGCCTACACCCTAGGCAGCCACTCCATGGCCAATGGGGACCCGCGAGACGAGCGCACACCAAATTAGGAAGGCAGGCATCGAGGGGGCGGGGCGACACCCGGGAGGGGCCAGCCGGGCAGGAAGCCCGGCACTGGGTGTGGAGGCCAGCACCGCCCCAATCTCTTAGGGAGCGCAGCCAGCGGGAGGAGAGTGGGGAGGTGGCAGGGAAGGGCTGGGAGTGTTTGTAAACACGCCGGCTCCACCCTACGGCAGAAACTCAAACTGAAAAGTATCTTGGCAAGCAAAACCTCAAGGGCCTCTGAGGTTTCTAAACACTCAATTGAATTCCATGGTGCTAAGATAAACGGATGTAAACAGAGAGGCTTTTATTGTAACAATGGTAGGCCAAAGAGCCAGACAGCCAGTCCCTAACTTGCTACTTTCTCCGCAGAGAACTCCCCTAACAAGAATCCTTTGCACAGGGCAGCTTCAAAGAACAAGACTGGGTGGAGGGAGGGGAACCGGGGGTCCCCCACCTTCCCGGCTTCCACAGCAAGAGCAGGGTGGGTACAGAACCAAGGAGCTGCACACACCCCCCTCCCATGGGAACTCACGGTCACAGGAGGCCCGCCCAGCTTCTCGGAGCTCCAGCTGCAAGGGCTTCAGGTGTTCAGTACAAAATATCTTTACTCCCAGCTATCAACAAGAACGAAATCTCCGCCAGGGAAGCAACACGATGGAGCTGGAGGCCCTTGTCCCAAATGAACTAACTCAGAAACAAAACTGCACACTGCCTGCTCTCACAAGTGGGGGCTGAACAGGTGGGTGCCCAGGAACACGAAGATGGAAACAACAGACGCTGGGACTCCAAAGCTGGGCAGCGGGAAGGGGCGAGGGGTGAAAGATGACCTCCGAGGTGTGAGGTTCACTGTTTGGGTAGTGGGCACCCTAGAAGCCCAGTCCCCACCAGGATGTAATATCTCCATGTCACAAACATGCACATACACCCCCTGAATCGAAGATAAAATAAAAATAAACAGTACTTTCCATGCCCTAATTTTTAAAACCGGGATCTTTTAACTCCTTTGCAAACCACTACCTTTCTTGTAATACAAAAGCAACTTTAATATGCAAATTTGGCTTAATGATGGGAAATACTTTTGTTTTTTAAGCCCCCTCCTGGAGCAAACCAAAACATTTTTCTTTCTTAAAAAGCTTGTTTAGCTGGATTACAACGTGCTGGGTAAGAACCCATTGCCAGGCTCAGGCGGGGGCGCAGACCTAGCCCTGTGGCAGGAGCCCAGGTCACTCCTGGCCTGCTTCTCTCTGGACCCGGAGGCCTTTGCTGCCCACCCCAAAAGCAGCAGGACCAGACCTATTTTTTATTTTTTTTGAGACAGAGCCTTGCTCTGTTGCCAGGCTGGAGTGCAGTGGTGCGATCTCGGCTCACTGCAATCTCTACCTCCCGGGTTCAAGTGATTCTCCTGCCTCAGCCTCCTGAGTAGCTGGGACCACAGGCGCCCACCACTGAGCTTGGATAATTTTTGTATTTTTAGTAGAGACAGGGTTTCTCCATGTTGGCCAGGATGGTCTCAATCTCCTGACCTCATGATCTGCCTGCCTCGGCCTCCCAAGGTGCTGGGATTATAGGCGTGACCCCCCACACCTGGCCAGGACCAGCCTATTCTGGGTGAGCTCCCAGCAGCACAGGAGCTAGTCTTGGCCACCATTTCTAAAGTGCCTTTAAGGTGGTACTAGGTACTCAAGGACATCGGCGGTGTTCAGTTGTGTTCTTCAGATACAATTCTAATAATGTACAATTCACCGTGTATTTATTTCTTATGTATTTATTTATTTTGAGATGGAGTCTCAACTCTGTCACCCAGGTTGGAGTGCAGTCTTACAATCTCAGCTCACTGCAACCTCTGCCTCCTGGGTTCAAGCCATTCTCCTGCCTCAGCCTCCCAAGTAGCTGGGACTACAGATGTGGGCAAACATGCCTGTGTAATTTTTGTATTTTCAGTAGAGATGGGGTTTCGACATGTTGCCCAGGCTGGTCTTGAACTCCTGGCCTCAAGTGATCCGCCTGCCTTGGCCTCCCACAGTGCTAGGATTACAGGTGTGAGCCACCTCGCCCAGGCAATTCACCCTTTAAAGTGACTTTTAGTATATTCACAAAGTTGAATAACCATCACTGCTAGCTACTTCTAGAACATTCTCCCATAAAGCCGTACGTACTAAAAAAAAATACTGCATGTGCACTGCTTAGCACAGAGCCAGGCAGGCACACAGCAGGGTTTCAGTCACTTAGGATTCACCATCACCACCATCATCATCATCCTCCCAGAGGCTCATGACATCACAGCACTGGCTCCACAGATGGGAACCAGGCCCAGGGGTCGGGGGCTGAGGCAACCACGTAGAGTCACACACGCGACCATGCCCGGCCTGAGCCCAGCAGCTTTTCCACAGGCTTTCCACAGCAGCTGTGTCCCTGAACGTCTCTTGCAATCAGAGACTCTTCTAACCACTGCCTCTGGAAAAAAGGAGGCCAACTCCAAGCAACTCAAAAGGAAATGATTCGCAACTTGTAACTTGTAGGACACCACTGGTAAGTTGTCGGCAAAGCTGGGTAGAGGAGCCGTCCCCGCAATGGCTGTGTTCCAAGATAAACCAGTGGACTTGGACTCTGAAAAGGTGCTGGCCACGTATGGGCCAGGTGTGTTGGCTCATGCCTGTAACCCCAGCACTTTGGGAGGTGAAGGAGGGAGGATCTCTTGAGCCCAGGAGTTCCAGACCAATCTGGGCAACATTGCAAGACCCTGTCTCTACAAAAGATAAGAAAATTAGCTGGGTGTGGTGGTGCATGCCCGTGGTCCCAGCTACTTGGGAGGCTGGGGTGGGGGGATCACTTGAGCCCAGGAGTTGGAGGCTGCAGTGAGCTATGACTGTGCCACTGCACTCCAGCCTTGGTGACAGAGTGAGACACTGTCTCTGCAAAACAAACAAAAGTCCTCTCCTCTCCTACAGTTGCAAGAGGAAAAACAGAAAAGGTGTAGCCGGGGCTTGGCAGAGTGACGTGATTGGACTGGGAATGCCATGGTAGTCCCTCTAACAGACCAGTGTGCCCAGAATATTATTCACAGATGTCCCTGAGGGCCCTAAGCCCCTTTCAGGGTATATGTGAGGTCAACATCATGTTCACAACTGTAAGATGCGATCTGCTTTTTCCACTGGGCTGACCTTTGCTGGTGCCGCAGAGAAACCACAGCTCTGGCACCAAACCACGCATGGCCACACATCTTCAGGGCCACTGATGTACAGCTGGGAGCGAGAAAAGCCAGCCGCGTTTAGGAATGTCTGAGATAAGGCCAGGCGTGGTGGCTCACACTGCAATCCCAGCACTTTGGGAGGCCGAGGTGGGCAGATCACAAGGTCAGGAGTTCTAGACCAGCCTCACCAACATGGTGAAACCTCATCTCTACTAAAAATACAAGTGTTAGCTGGGCATGGTGGCATGTGCCCGTAGTCCCAGCTACTTGGGAGGCTGAGGCAGGAGAATCGCTTGAACCCAGGAGGCGGAGGTTGCAGTGAGCCAAGATTGCACCACTACACTCCAGCCTGGGCGACAGAGCAAGACCCCGTACCAAAAAAAATAAAGAAAAAGAAAAAGAAAGAAATGTCCGCGATGCGATGAAGAGGTAAATCATTAAACAATGTATGACCCTCCAGCCTCAAGCACACGTCTGCTTTTGCATCCTTTTATACAGGACCCGGGCCAGCACCGTGTGCCACACATCCAGGCTACTGCCAGAGGTTTGCGTGTGACTCAGTCCAAGGCTCACCAGCACTCTCTACACAGAGCTCTGTTTCCACTCGTGACCTGAAATGCCTCCCTCCCGCCCCCCGGGCTTATCGTTGTCTAACACACCAGAGATGAGAAAGTTTGAGGACTTTCCAAAATCTAGATTAATTTCTAAAAGGTCATAGAGGATTTTCACAAATAAAGAAAGAAAGTTCACCAAATCCTGGTGGACAAATATTACTTTAAAACATTTTCAGCTGGGCACGGTGGCTCACGTCTGTCATCACAGCACCTTGGGAGGCTGAGGTGGGTGGACCACTTGAGGTCAGGAGTTCAGGACCAGCCTGGCCAACAGACCCGTCTGTACTAAACATACAAAAGTTAGCTGGGTGTGGTGGCAGGTGCCTGTCATCCCACTATTTGGGAGGCTGAGGCAGGAGAATCGCTTGAACCCACGAGGTGGAGGTTGCAGTGAGCCAAGATCACGCCACTGAACTCCAGTCTGCGTGACAGAGTGTAACTCCGTCTCAAAAAAAAAAAATTTTCAATGTATTACAAAAAAAAAAAAAACACCAAAAAAAAACCTGTGCTTGCTTTAATAAGCCCTAATATGTAAAACTTCCAATGGGAAAAGTGGTGATGAAGCAGTGACTCTTCCTTTTACCAGGGAATTCACAGAGATTTCAGCCAGGTACCGGATGCACACATAGCACTTTCCATATTTCCATGCATGTCAATTCTCCTCAGAGATACAGAACCCGGTGTCATGTGCACCAGGCACGCCTGTGTTATCTCCCTCTCTCCTGGGGGCTGAGGGCAGGCTGGGGGGCTGCTCACCTGATGGTGCCAGTTGGGGAGGGGATGGGGCTGACCATGCTCCGGAGGTCCGGCTCCGGGATGTGGATCTTCAGCGGGGAGATCTGTGGGTAGAGCGGCCGGAGTGGGGAGGCCGGGGCCTCTTCTTTGTGGTAGAGCGACGTGAACTGGATCTTGATGGCCGTGCTGGGAAACCGGAAGGTACACCTGGAACGGGAGGAGGAGCGGGTGTGAGGTGCAGGACACACAAGAGAACGCTAACACCCAGGGTAGGTGCGTGTCTGTGGGTCTAAGTGACCAGACCTCAACTCTCCAACCTGGGCCCCAGAGAGCAGTTTCATTGCTTTTGTTAGGACATGCAGGAACTGAGACTTAGGCTTATTTGGACATCAGTTGTCTTTCTTATTTTATTTTATTTTTTGAAAGGCAGTCTCGCTCTGTCGCTCGGGCTGGAGTGCAGTGTAGCGCAATCTCCGCTCACTGCAACCTCCGCCTCCTGGGTTCAAGCGATTCTGCTGTCTCAGTCTCCTGAGTAGCAGGGATTACAGGCACCTGCCACCACGCCTGGCTAATTTTTATATTTTTAGTAGAGACAACGTTTCACTATGTTGGTGAGGCTAGTCTTGAACTCCTGACCTCAGGTCATCTGCCCGCCTTGGCCTCCCAAAGTGCTGGGATTACAGGCATAAGCCACCGCACCCGGCCATCAGTTGTCTTTCTACTGTGCTTGAGAACAGAAGAGATATAAATATCCCCAAACAAGCGCCGCTGATGCTGCCAACTCCCACTCAGGCTCCAGACAGTCAGGGCTCCTTCCTGTCTCCAGGGCAACTGTTGTGACACCCAGGTGGGGTCCCTCTGAAAGGACACCCTGGGAGGCTGAAATGGCATGGCAGCCACCTAAGCAGAGATTTTCAAGATGATTCCCCGCTGCTGCCTGGAAGATCTGATAGAGCAATTCCACCCCCGCACGGGCCGGCAGGAGTCGCAGAGAGTGCTCATTATCCACCCAGCGCTTAATGGACCGGCTTCACAGTCAATTCTGAGCTTAAAACCCTAAGCCTCGGTTTTTCTATGGGAGATGACCAAGTGCAAACAAAGCCAGCCGCAAGTGCCAGCGTCAACACCGGTATGCTGGGAACGGTATCCAAGGTTCACCTGGATTGCGGAAACTGCCACCTTTTACAATGCTTAGTGTTACTTATCCACCTCACCTTTCAATTTCTAAACTGATGAGGCAGCAACTATCAAGTTGCTCCCTGCAGGACTCAGTTCAAAACAAAACAAAAACAAAAACAAGGTAAAGCAGCAGCCTGCCCACACAGAGATAAGCATGCTGGCCGCCTGCACAGCTGTTTGGAAAAGGCTCTTGTTTAAAGCATGGGAGCGGGGGAAGAAAGAATGTATAGAAACCACCCGTGACAATGCACTTTTCAGAGTTCCAGAAGGCATTCAGAACAAGCCAAGGGACTCAACACTTGAGAGATGTGGAAGTCTCTTGTAGGGGAACCTGGATGAAGCCTCCAAGCACCCGGCTGCTGGGTCTCTGCCTGACCGTTTTTAAATCTGAAGCAGTGTCGA